GTTTGCTCACCAGGACCCCATGACTTTTTCTGCAGATAGCACAAGTAAAGCCATTTGTTTGCTCTGGAACCACAAAAGATGCTGTAACAGTTCCATTTTAAAATTCCAATTTTAGAACATGTATTTTAAAAAAAAAAAAAAAAAAAAAAAAAAAAAAAGCTAAGTCCTTGACAGTTTGATTTATATTGAATGGAAAAGCTTTAGAATTCTGCAGTGCACTCTAATAAGAGTGCTAATGCGTTATGATTTGGTACTAACATCACACTCTTCAGAAGACTGTGATTCAGTAAAAGTTTCTCTTATGTAAGGCATTTTTTTTGTCATGAAAACAAAAATCTCAGATCAGTTTTAATATAATGTCATGGTTATATAAAATAAAGCTAAGGTTTTTGTGACACCGAATCAAATCATGGCTGTTGTTTAGTGCTATGCTTGATGTGAAAGTGTTAACAATCAGTGAACAAATACAAGGAAATTAAATCAAAAATGCCTAGCAAAGCATGAAGGCAAAATGCAAAGTAAGCATACAACAAACCCCAGATTTTTTTCTGGAAGAAATTATGCTTCAAGTGCAATGGTATCTCACACAAAATCACGGTTCCATATGTTCTTTTTCACAAAACGTATCTCCATCTCCACAGGCTGCAAAGGAATGGAAAGACAAAATGCATTCATGATCATGAAGTCAGGAGACAAAGCTCTCCTGAACGTGCACCCACTTTTACTAAATTTAATGCAACTATAAACTGTTAAAATTTGTTATAACAGGAATTTGCTACTAACTACAGAAACCACATTAGTTGGTCCAATTGTATTTAAGGGAGAAATCTATGTTGCATATCCACAGAACACTGCATGAAAAATTTACTGAAGTTCTAAGCTTTGAATCTTCATCACCGGGTTTTTGCACTGCTTAGTCAGACACAGTCGGATTGCTGGGCCTGAGATGTTACTGAAGTGGCTCCCTACCCGCATTCTTGGTGCTCTCCCCCTGGCAGGGGTTAGACAAAAAATAATCTGGCTTGACTTCAGCCATTTTTCAATAGTAGGTCCTTGCAAGCTTGGCTTAGTTAGAGTGAATTAGAGACAGAGAAGTGACTGCAGATCCAAGGGAGGAGTAGTCAGTATCTGAGAATGAATAATCTCCTGAGCTGCAAATGTAAGATGAGTTCACTTTGAGATTGGAAAGAAAGCATTTTTTGTGTTTTGGGGATCAGTGACTATGATCTTTTAGATAATGTGTCTTCTCCCCTCCTTCCCCAGGTCACAAAGTGCTGATCGTATCCAACCTCAGCCTGCCAATTCAGACCTGATGAAGAGGAAAACTAAACCAGCTAACTTTGTATCAGCAAGTTTCGTGCTACATGTTACTACCTGTCCTCTCGCAGCAGGCATCAAGGTGCAAACACACCATAAATAGCCTCCTCCGAGTGATGGGTAAGTGATCAGGTAAACTTAAATTTGCATTGCATGAGACCTGGAGAATGAGAATTGTGAGTGTCTTGCTAGCCACAAGAGGGAGTCCGTATTACTGGGAAAGGAGATGAAGTAATTTGAGGTCAAATCCTTCCTTCAGACCAAACTGCCTTTGGCCTTTATTTAGACAAAAACTACAATACATAGCAGTGGCCATGGTTGATGAGTACAGGATTTTTGCAAGACTAGTGAAAGCAGAATTTGCAGCTTTTGTTAACATTGAAAAAAAAAAAAAAAAAAGACTATTGAGCTGTGACAAACTATTGCTTTAGCTCTGCCTTCTGGCAGCAGCATTTTCCAGCAAAGCCAAAAAGAAATACTGCTCTTCAATATGTGTATCTAGATGTGCAGCTGTATGTGCAGGGAACAAAACCCCTAAAGCCTGCTGCTATGACATCTGCATATTTTCCTTAAAATGAGGCTAATGCTGCAAATGCATTATTTGATGCATATAGTATTCTCTGCCTGTTTGTCGTGAACTTTGGCATGACAGTTCTATGCAGGAAGACTAACTGAGGAAACTGTATGTTTACAAATAATAAGAATCATCCAGCCAGCAGCAGAAATAAAAGCAACGATTGTATTGTAAGCAGGCAGTGAAACAAAATTATCACTCACTTTAGACAGTACCTGAGAATTGTTCTTTAGTGATCAAGTTCAATACAGTGCCTGAATGTTTTGATGATTTTGGAGAATAAGTGAATCAACAGGATAAAATCTGATTGCATGAGGTGCTTACAAAACTCGACTGCAGACAGCAGCAGGCTTTCCAGTGGCCTCAGGGGTTTGGGTTCAGCCCACGGTTCGTATCGGAAGAGAGAAGAGCGTGACCAGAGCGTGCTGACCATGTACGGTGTGTGGGGCACCAGTAAGGAGAGGGAGAGTGCAAGGAGGTATCCTCTACAGTTAAAGCAGCTGTGATACTCGAGGTGTACATTAGCATGTCCGTGGCCTCCTCACATGATCTATAGCATGCAGTCACAAAGGCAGAGCTAAATGGGGGCTGTAGATTTCTGGCCCCTGTTAAATCCATCTGTGGTATCTAGAAACATTATAAAGTCCATATTCATTTGTCAACAATACCCCTCTTTCCAACCCCTGCCAGCTATTCCCTTTTGAAATACGGCACTTCAAAATGTAGTCAGTAGTCACACTCACTAACTACAGCAGTGAATGGATTGCTATTTTCAAATAAAAAGAAAATATCGTCAAAGATGTAACTTAGTGGATCTGACAGAAAAAACTAAAAATATGAGGAAATGTCCATGAGTTTACTAAAAGCAGAGCTTTTTAAACAAATCTGCATGTTGGTGTAAGATTAAAAGGGCAAGAACAGACTATAGACAAATTTATGAGGAAATTATAAGACTTCTAACCAAAGCAGCAAGGTTCCCATGGTGGGAGTAGCGGCAACCAAAGTCCGAACTGAATATAGGATACAACTTGCTCAGCTTGTAAGCCTGCTCGAGTTTCTGCAGTTCCCTGTCCCTACTCCTTTTCTCTGATTAAGTGCACCAAAGATCTCACGCGATGCAAGATCCAAGGACTACATTAATGATGAAAGAGCACGGGATGAAAGATATGGGGCTCTCTGATGTGGCCTAAAGGCACCCGCTTCATTATCAGAAAGTGCCAGCGACAGAAGCGGTTTGTTACATGACAAACTGCACTGAGCTCAGCAGGATCAAAACCAAGGTATCTCGGGTTGGATTCCCAGAAAAGCACCTACGTTTTATTCTCTGTTCGGGAACCTCCTGAACATTTCAGGTGTACGTAAATGAGCATATCTTTCCTTTTTCAGTGCTCTCTGCCTCAGATAAATTTGTCTCTTAAATAAAATAAAACAAAAAAGGGTTCTACTATACAGAAGTAATTTCATCTGAAAGAAAGTGAGCTCACAGACATGAAGCTATTAAACACTGCTGGATTAAGAGTAGCACAAAATGTTATGCCTTGTAAAAACACCACCTTCAGAAAGCTTATGATCATGGGTTTGTGATTTTTTTAAGTGTCCTTGAAAGAACTGCTTAAACAAATTATTCCCAGGTCAGATTCGGACTGTGTTGTGAATGAAAACATATGTTAAATTGGCTGTAAACTTATTCACACAAAAGTGTTTTTCATGTTTTCAGCACCTCAGTTTGAATGAAACAAGCAAAACTAATAAAGGCTATTAGGCTTCAAAATCATTTCAGATTTAAATATTGAGTGTACACTTCTTCAATTAATGTTTACTTTTAGAAAAACAGACGTGACTTCGCAAAGGCTTCAGGAGCTTTTTAATTTTATTTGTAAGAGAAACCCCCTTCCCTTCACTAAATCCACTTAGGTGTTTACTAGAAAGTATGCACTTAATTTTCTGCATGCTCAGGACATGATTTTCCACATGCCCAATTCCCTTCAAATGCTGCAAATCACTTGTTTTCATACAGCACCGGACATCTGAGGCCAAGAGAAGTCCAGATGCAAGCAAACTATGTGCAGCTTTGCTCTCACCAACTCCATGTCATGAAAATTAGAGGTTGCAATTCCCTTTTTTAAGATAACGACCATGTTGGTTCTGCCACCAGGCTGAGGTGTGGGGCAGCCCCACGGCGTGGTGGAAATGTCTGCCGGAGGTTTACTGAGGACGCAGACCAAGGCGGCTGGTGCCACAGAAGTGATGGCTGGGTCCCTGCTGAGAGACCCTGGCCGCTCTGCATCCTGTCCCAAGGGGCTGGGTGTCCCCAGTACCTGCAGGGGGGCACGTAGCACTCCTTATTTCATACTCTGCCTTTCCCTGCAGCGAAGGGGATCAGCAAATCAGTTCTCAGCCCTAATGTGCTCTTGCAGACCTGGGCCCAGGGAATCCTCTTCTGCAGCAGAGGAGCGGTGGCTGCTCGGGGTGTTACGCTACCGGCTGCGATGGGCTGAGCAGGGACCACCAGGCTGGATGAAGGTTTTGGCTGGGACCGCCGTGCTGGCACTGCTAGCCATCTGTACCCCTCTGTGCAAGCTGTCCATGCTCATCACAGAGTCTTACCCACACGCTAAAACCCTCTGTTTTGGATAACCCTAAGATATTTCTCAACGCTTTTCTAACATCTTTGTCCATCCTATAAATCTGTGCTGAATCTTCTCCTTTTCCTCCCTCCTGGGTAGTTTTGGTTATGTGAATGCAGCGTCACACGTTACAGGATTTTTGGCAGATTGGCTTTATAGTGAATTCCCTTCTCCTCCACATACTCAAACCTGTTAGAATTCAGCTGTTATTTTAGCTGGCTTTAAGGAAGTTGCAAAATGCATTTATGATTGAGTTTTGATCTACAGTTAGTGTTACTTACACTGGCTCTGCAGGTAGTTTCCTTAGAAAGCCACCACTTGGGCACTGACAGCTGCTGAGTTTGTACATTTTGCTACAAAACAGGGGTCTTTCTCCCCCGATTTCTCACTGCCAACCTGCTGGATACGGCCGGGTGGAGGTGAGAGGCAGCTCTCTTCTGTTCACCTCACACACCCGACGCACGGCCGGGACCGCTACTCACCCCAGCTCAGGGTACCACGCCGTGACGTAGCTGTAGCATCTTCCCAGGATAACTTCTTGCAGATTCTTAGTGGTCCCTCTGTCCTTCCACTTCAGCATTTTCGGGCTGACCTCTTGCTTTCCGTGAGTCAGGACGGAGGCCAGCACGACAGCCAGGACCAAGCCGGCCAGCAGCACCACGATCCCCACCAGAAGGACGGTCCGCTGCCGCGTCCGGGCAGAGCCCTGCTGGAAGGGCATGCTGCGGGGGGCTGCCTGACGAGCACCACCACCCGCTCTCCCCGCCGAAAGCCCCAACAGCTTTCCAGCCTCCCGCTGCCCGCCCCGGGCCCTGCCCCGCCGGCCGGACGGGAGGCCGGCCTGACCCCCCGCCCGCCCCGGGGTCGCGGCCCGCCCCCGGCCCCGGCCCCCGCCCCCGGCCCCGGCCCCGGCCCCCGCCCAGGCCCCGGCCCCGGCCCCGGCCCCGGCCCCCGCCCAGGCCCCGGCCCCGGCCCCCGCCCAGGCCCCTGCTCCGGCCCCGGCCGCCCGCTGCCGTGCCCCCGGGGCCGGGGGGGCCGGTCGCCACCGGAGCCCAGGGCCAACCGGCCCCTTCCCAGCCGGCTCGGGTCACGGCAGTAGCGGGTTTTAAAACCAGAGTGGCTCTTCGGGGCTCGGGGCGGGAAGAGGACAGCCCCGCTGCTGTTTGCCTTCCGCTCCTCGCGTTCCCCTGGCCTCCCCGAGCTCCACTCTGTCAGCAATAACTCACAGCGGTGAATTTCAGGAATTAGTCGTAAAACTCCCGAAGCCTTTGTTCAAGTAGAGATCCCCTTGCTCCAGCTAATGTGTGAATAAAAGCTGAATTAACTACAGATCCCCTTTCTCTGGCTGATGTGTGAGTAAAAGCTGAATTAACTACACATCCCCTTTCTCTGGCTGATGTGTGAGTAAAAGCTGAATTACAATGACCGTGGTCTGTTTTCTGTAAATGAATTTGTTTTTAAATGATAGGGGTTGAATTCGACTTTACCGAACGGAATTAGGAACTTTGCAGTAGTGATAAAAACACAGTTCATTGGCACACAATGGCATATTTTATTTTTCTCCCTTGCATATAGGCTTGGATTAGTTGCCACATGAATTTCTAAAACCAGTGTGTAAATTGTGGGTGTTTGAGGTTGTGTGAAATCACCTAACGAGGCATTAAGTGTTCTCTGGAAGAGGGAAATGAGTTCCTTGTTGTCCTCTCCAAACAGGGCGATTCAACTTCCTTAGTTAAAAGCCAACATAAAATTAGACTCAAATCTCAAAATCTGACCAAAAGAAGCTATGCAATGTCAGAATAACGTTAACTATAAATTTTTAATAAATTTTTAATAATTGCTTACAAAGCACCTGTCTTTAACAGGTTGACTGTGAGAGGGCATTTGCAACAATTTTTCTGATCCCGTTTTGCAAGAAATGATGCAAAATCTGGGAGGCGTGTCCTCAGAACTGAAGCCTCAATTTTGGAGTGGCGTATCAGGCTGTCAGCCCCGAAGTGGTCAGGCAGTTGGACCAGATGATTGGTTTAGGTCCTTTCCAACTGAAATATTCTATAGCTCTGCCTAACAGTGTCATCTCTACATGAGAGAGGTAACAGCGTTCTCTCTTCGTGACGCTGCTTGTGTACCCTCAGTGGTCCCCGTTGCAGGTTCTGCAAAAAGTGCAGGAAACTCTGTAGGAAACAATTCAGTAAGTATTAGCACATAAAGGAAGTTTTCCCCCGTAATCCTTCCAGTATTCATGCAGGTTCTGCCTTGACAGGCTGAGATGATTGTTCCTTATTTGTTCCTTGTTTTCATCATCCTGTAAATATGAATGCAAGGTATTCACCACTCAACTTTGTGATCTTTTATTATGCACAAGAGAGGTTATTGAATTTGGTTTATTTTTTCCTTAATGTTTGTTTGCATGTGTTTTCAACTTGCTGCTCTTCAGTTTCATTAACTAAGTGCATACCGTGTTGGAAAAACTCAATGAGTTATCCTAAGCAGTTTATGCAGTAAAACTGCAATCTCTGCTTGCTCTGGGTATTGAAGATACCTGTCTTTAGTAAGTTGAAGAGTCACTTTTAGAGTCAAAGAATTCAATAACTAATTAAAAAGTTTAATTAACTTTTTAAAACTTTTTTAAAAAAATAAAAACCAAAAACAAGCAACTTTTTTAAGACACTCTTTTCTTCAGTAACCTGATGTGAGAAGACTTTTTTCTTCACTTCAGATATGGCATTGGCTCACTAAGAATAAATAAATAAGGTGAGTGCAGACTCAGTGGCTCTGCAAGGTGTCCTTGCTGCTGATTTTGTAACAACTTGAACTACATAAGGAATGTCCAAGACAAATGACTGTCAAGCCTCCTTTCAGCAAGCCTTGGCAGCCTGCTCAGGACGGATAAATAGCACAAGCAGAGTTGAGGGGGCAGTGGAAAAGTCAGTAAAAGTACATACTCCCAGTGGTTCAGAAGACAGTAGTTTCTTTCTCAGTCTGAATGTGAGCATGAACTCACTCCTTGCGAATGTTTGGTCCCAAGAGTATTCCCACAAGAGGTGTAAGTAAGATGATAACGGTGCCTTAGCCAGGAAAGGATGAAACAGTATTCCCTGAACTGTCCAGTGGGAGGGGAGCTCAGAGGAGAAAGTGAAATGGGGAAGGACGATGGAAGGTGAAAAGCAGAGTGTTTTACAGGGGTCTTGCATCCCCTTAGGTCTGTGGACTGAGCTGGATTTCACATCTTTCCTGAGCAGTTCTCCAAGCAGAAGACCTTGAACTGACTGACTGTATTCCACAAGAATTCAGTACCCTCCACAGGACCCTAAGGAAATGCAAATGTAGGATTTACCCTGAGATTGCAGGGAAGCTTCACAGATCTGTATGCTTCTTGAACTCATTTGCTAGTAGTTACTTTTGCCTTCTATAAGGAAAATCACAGTTTTTAAAGGCACAGTGTCTCATAAACTGATAGCCAACTTTTGGAGCCCTCTGAGCTACGTGAATTTCCAAGATAGCGAATCTAAATTATTCCTGGTCTTCCCAAGGTGTGTCTACTCTTCTGCCAGCATTTACACTAAATCTTTGGGTGGGCTGATTAGAAAGCTGGTATAAAAATTGAAAAAATCGAAATACTTCAGGCACATAATTGCCAGCCTCTGCTTTGATAGCATGTATTGCAGCAGGGGACTTCTGTAAGAATGGACCTGTATGATGTATAATTTATCAGCATGCACACTTAATGCTACTAGTATTGTAAGAGAAAATCAGATAGCCCCCACAGCTAACTGCAAGTTCTGTGGATGGTATTTTTGAGGCAGCAGGGGATAACAGACCACCCCCCAGCCATTCCCAAGGTCTGCTTGCTCAAAAGTTTAATTTATCCTTTTCTTTTTTACTATCCATCAAATGCAGATAATTCTGGCACCCAAAATATGACTGAGGACGCAAAAAATCCTTCACAGTCAAAATTGCTGGTAAAAAGTGGTATGCAGCAGGTAGGACGGCACCCATCCAAAACAACAGGGACCTGCAAACATAGGTAAGAAAATATATGTTGTGCATCTTTTCAGTGCTTCTAGGAAACTCTGGAAATGTTTCTTCCTCAGTGAGTAAAAAGTTTGTTAGAAATATTTTATGACTGTGTGGTTTGCCTGTGTCCTCGTCCTTCTTCACTGGCCTCTATTTCTTGCACCCATGTGTTGTGTGGCCAGTGCTCTGACAGAAATGGAAACAGTGCCCCTGCCTTTAATGGAAGTTAGCTCAGTTATACTAGCAGTGAATTTGTCTGTATGACAGAAAAAAAAGGCTGCTTCAAACCCTACACAGTTTAGGAGTCGTGAAGACTCATTTTAAGGTAACGTCTAGATTACAACGATACCACAGTATTCATAGTGCCACTTATCACCCCCAGTCTTGTGGACACCTGCAATTACTGGCTGTCACTTCTCAGCAGAACTTACGAATGAGAGAAGTTGAACTGAAAAGAGCAGAAGCTGTTAGAATAATTAAAGAAATTACGGCTTTCCTGGCTTTTGTTATAATAGCAGTGATTCCCGTCTTCTCATCTCTTCCCAGTTTCACAGGGTAAATGCTGTCATAACATTTAGAGAAGGTTTGAGATAAACACTGCAAATAAAATGTTAAATGGGCTGGGATAAGACAACCAGCTAGTACAAAGTGACAGCTGTGAAGAGCTGTACGCCATCCAACCACACACAACAGCTACTGTGAAAAATGCATGTATAACTCTGTGTCTGGGCACCCCATTCAGCTCTCCCGTGTTTCAGCTCCTCTGCTGAACACGAACTTTCCTGGAGAGCTGGTCTCTGGGACAAATGCATGAGTGCTTCCAGGATACGGGACAGTTAATTAACCTGTAAGTAGCTCTGTTTTCATTGTGGCAGCCCCCACCACACCTACACTAGAGCTACAGGCAGATGAAGAGACCGACAGACGGACAACAGTGCCTTAACTCGGAGCCTGCACTGGTGGCCATCTAAAGGAGGTGAAAACATCCCATTTGTGTCCTCTGCAAAGCTATATCCACTGCTGGGAACACGGACCATGTTATGCTCCTGTTTACCAGATGAGCTGTCTGGAGACGGTCTGAGCACCAGCATTCCCTTCCCAGCCCCAAGTCTTTTTTTCTCAGCTGGTTGCCGTTGTCATCTTCAGCGTGGTGGTATTGTTTCTCTTTGTTGTTATATGACACAAATTTCTATTCTGATTTCACCTTCTTCTCTTGTTAGTTTTTTAAGATTACTTCTGATGACAAAATGCTTCTTTATATTTTAGAGTATCAGATATTAGGGAGGGTTAATCTCCTCAGAACAGGACAGTGTGGCTTCCATTCACAGCGATATGTACCCTACCTAGGCAGGAGCCCCCACCAGTGAGATGTAAGTGTATGAGTAAAATAACAGGACCAGCAGTTCTGCAGCACGGTCCACTAGACTTTGGTTGAAATTGGCCAAGAAATTCACAATTTTGGGGAAGGAAAGGGCTGACAGATGTAGGAATGGATAAGCAAACCAAGTGATTGCATAGGTCTCCTTTCATCTGTAAACCAGGCTCAAGATAAATTATCATTCCACTTAAAAGGGTGCAAATGACTGCAACATCAGTGATGCAAAGTGTTGTGTTGTGATAAATAACAGTATACTGACATTGCTAACTGCGGGTGCAGTGTAAAATCTAGCTGATTAACTAGGTAATCGGCTTTCAGACTTTTGTCAGCTAATCTGATACTGCAGTATTTCATCATCTTTATTTTTTAAATGTCTTCAGCATTTTCTCCATTCTTTGAAAGTATAATGCATGCTTTTCTCTTTCTGCCTCATTGCACACAGAAGTATGAAAGCTCATAAGCCTTTTCTGGTTTTCCTGTATGGTTTGTATACAAAGTGCAGGGCTCTGCTGACATACAGCAACAACGCTGCCCTGCATCAAATCACCTGGCAAGTGTAGAGATGGACTTTGCTTCCTCTGAGCAACTAAAGCTGAGGGTTTGGTCTTACAGCTTTGGTTTACTGTCTCCTTCAAATGGTGATTTAGTTTGTACCTGGCCTATGTCTACATAGTTCACTGAAGCAATCAGTAATGTAGATGTAAAACTGGCTGCTGAGTTTAAAGATGCATGTATCTGCATTTTCACCGTTTTGTTTTAGACACTTGCAGCTTTTCAAATCTATAAGATTTCAGTCCTGAACTCTTCTTCTAATTATCCTGAAAAACTGTAGAGAAATTAGTTGTGCAGCAGTCCTCAAAAGTAGAAATGCTCTGTGTGTATGTGTGTGCATGTGCGTTGATTCATTGCGACCAAATTTTGTGTGAGGAGGTGCTCCTCAACTAATTTGTTGGAAAAATCAGTAATGTCATAATTCCTAACTGCCCCTGAGTCCCTAATGGACACTTCTGAACTTGTTAATATACACAAGTTTAAGCACCCAGGACTTTTCAGTCCAAATGGAAGCACCATTAGATCTTAGGCATCCTTACATTTAAGAATTATGGGATAGAAAGTGGTGTGAAACTGCTTTCTCAAGCCCAGATACCTAAATTCCTTATAAAAATGACTTTGCTCTCGGTGGGTGTTCCGAATATGGCCACTTTAATCTTACTTTGTCATAAGTAAGGATATCATGATCAGTGTTACTCTTCCCTAGGAAGGAGGAGAGGTATGCAGAGGGACCATTGCCGTTACCTGCTGCTGTACATGTTATTGCTCGGGTAGGAGACATACCACGTCCCACCACTGTTATCGCTGCATCTAGCTGTGGGTGCACGCTCATTGCTACGTGCTGATGGCATGTTTTGGGGTTAGCACCCCTCAGAGCATGTAGATTTGGAACTGCAAAGTCATCTGGGATGCTTCACAGGTCTGCCTCTGAGTGTTGCAGGCGAGAGCAGGCCCACCTGACCGCAGGGCAACGGGCTCAAGCTGCTGGACCTGGAGTGCAGGAAACTATCCTGTAAAATGGCACCCGCGAGTCATTATTTGCAGTTTTCCCACCACAGGCTGCTGGGGCTTTCCATCTCTTTCATCTGTATCACATGTAAGCAGCCTGTTTTTCCATGTGGAAGTTACTCATTTTGTTCCACGCGTTGCTGAGCGGTTTAGGTAAGGAAATGAGAATGCTAGATCAGCCCATGCTGACAAGCGCGATGCCTGTCTCTTCTCAATAAAGCATTCCGCTCTCTCGAGCGGAATGCACTATTTTTTTCCTGTGTGTTCTCACACAAGAGGAGAGTGTGGGAGGACCAAATGTCACCACTGTGCCTTGTAGTTTTGTTGGTGACCTTTTTATTACCCTACACGCGCTCCTGGCTACATGTGGTGTGGCTGCTTCTCTTCTCCAGGCTTGTGCAGGAAGTTGAGGCTATAAGGAAAGAAAGAAAAATCAATACAGATAAAATCTAACAAATATGATAGTGTTTCTGCTTTTTGTGTAAATAATGTGAAGAAGCATGCATAGAAAAGGATTAACGCTGGGCAGCATCCTGAGGCCAGTGCACCAGTTTTGAACTGTAGAGCCAGAAAGACCCAGGACAGCAGCACATGACAAAGCAACATCTAAAATGAGAAGTCTTAATTTAAGACAAAACCTTCCTGTACTTGCACAGGCTCATGCCAATGATTTCTCCCTCCCCCATCCCTTTTGCCTTCTGTTTCTCAAAAGCAGTATTTGTGCCTTGCTCAAGGTCAGGGTGGAGTATGTCTTAAGGCCACCATCACAAAGCTATTTCATTCCTGTGTGACTCCCTGGATGGTCTGGTCCCTCTGTCTATCACCTGTCAGACCCGCAGTTGAAAATAAGCTTAGATAGGCATGGGATGGTGGACCTCAGGGAGATCCCTCCTCCACACTCCCAGCTGCTCTTGCCATCTTCTGCAGCTCTCTGCTTCAGCCCCACTTCTACAGTTTGTCCACACAGAATCGACCTCCCAGGACAGATCAGTTCAATGCTCTGGTGCTGGGCACCAGCACTGACTGGATTGTCTTTCAGTGACCTGGTGTAGTAGAGGAGTGGCGCTTTGTTGTGTTTTATTGCAGGTGAATTGATCTAGTAGTAGTTTTCTCAAAACCCATGGAGTCAGGGACCCATTTCTAGGTGTTAATCAGCAGGATGGGGAATTTTAGGAATTTTATGATCAGAACAGACAATTAGTCAGAACTTACTGCTTAGTAAATGTTGAAAAATGGCCTTGTGAAGGAAAACAGGTACAGAAATGTAGATGCACTCAGTTTGGTGTGACAGAGACATTTATGACTGAATGACTGGCTTTTCCAGAGACCTGATAGGTGTGACCCCAGGGGACACTGAACATCAAAGGAGCCCAAGAAAGCAAGTTGATTCGAGGACAAATGTCCTCAAAGCACAAGAGTGGTCTATCCTGACCGGCAGGAAGTGGAAGCTGTGGCAGGAGACCAGCTTGGCCAAATCAGAAACTCCTGACCGAACTTAAATGTTGGAAAAAAGTGTAAGGGGAAGGTAGAAGCAGGGATGGACTATCTGGGCGGAATGTAGAAGCATTGCCGGGACTGTTGTGTGATAATGCTCATCTGCATGCCTCCAAAGGAGCTCAGAGAGACAGTGGCAGGATGGGGAAACTAAATAATACCCTGCCTGGCCTCTCCCAGGTCCATCACAAGGGCCATATGCCCATCAAAGGCCCATCTGCACATGCCCAGAGGAGCACAGGGACACAAAGGCAGGCGAGAACCCAAATTAAGGACTCCTGAGGAACAATCACCTTGTCCAGGTCACTTCAGGGCTGTCCCAGCAGAGCCTTAGCCCCAACATCCAGATGTGACACCCATCAACGTGAGCAATGGGAGCAGCTCTCTGAATCACCTTTTGGACTAAGGGGCTTGCTGTATAGGGGTGGGATATATTGTGGGATGCAGGGGAAAAGCAGTTCATGATTGCACAGGATTTATTACAGGATGCTTAGGAGTGGAATCAAAGGTGGGACAAGAGAGGGGTTTAGGTAATTTGGGATGAGCAAGAGTGATAAAATAGTGTGGTAGGGGAATAA